AGGCGGGGGGGTGGGGAGGGGTTGGGGCAGAGGCTGCAGGTAGGTGGGAGCAGATGGAGAAAGGCAGGAAAGGGCAGAAGGGGGTGTGTGGGGGGCACTAAGCAAGTGGTGAGGGGAAAGCTGGGAAGGAGAGGGAGGTGAGGCGTGGGCGGGGGTAAGAAGGAGATGGAAAGGGTAAAGGTAGAGGCAGAGAGAAGGGGGGAATGAAAGGAGAATCAGGGAGAAAGGTGAGAAGAGGGGGAAGGGGAGGGTCGAGGAAGAGCTAGGGAGCCTAGGAGGGAGTGACAGGGAGTGGGTGCACAGAGACAGTAGGTGGCCAGGGAGAGGTGCAGGGGCAGAGGGGTCCAGTCCTGCCCTGCCGGGCCTCCGCCCTTCTGTCCCTTCCATCTGTGCTAGCCCATGCTCTCTTTTGGCTGGCTGGGGCTCTGCGCCTCAGTCTCTGACCTCAGCCTGACTTCCCAGCCTCCCACCACTTCCCACGCGGCTCGTGTCACCATCTTGTGGCTTTCTGCTCAGCTGTTAGGGAAGGGGGTTCTGGTGGTCATCAGTAAGAAAAAGGCAGGTGTGGCTGGAGGAGAGAATGGAAATCAGGATTTCTTGCTCACCATGAGGTACTGGGGATAAGGTTCCCTTTGGTGACTCAGTTTCCCTCCCCCGCCAATGTCCAGCTGATGTGAATGGGCTTCGGGAGCCTGGGTGTTGGCATGTCGGGATTAGCTAGAGCAAGCAGTGGGTTGGGGTTGGGGTGTGATGTAGAAGGGAAGGGAATATGCTGCACTTTCTCCATAGCCCCTCACCAGGCTAGGGGAGATTGGTCCTAGGGAGGAGACACAATGTAGATGGGTCTGGCAGGAGAGGGGGAGATCTGGAGTCTGAGCGAGTCCCACATCCATACTGAATTGGCTGGTGGTTGAATGGAAGAGGGGTGGGGCAGACAAGAATTGGGATGAAGGCATGGGTCTCTATACAAGTGGGGTTCAGGGAGTGTGAGGTTTGGTGGCCTTGCGGAGGACATAGACATGTGCCGGTTATACACGTGTTCTCTTGGGTGGGGGGTGGGAAGCAGGGAGGGGATTTGCCATGTTTCTAGGCCAGCTCAATAATCCCTTGGGATGCTGGCTCTGCTGGGTCCAGTCATTTGGCATTGATTCCTCTGTCCCCTCCCTCTGCCCTATATTTTTTGTCTTCTGTCCTTTCTCCTCTTCCTCTGCTCTGGGAGAATAGCTTTAGACTGGGGCTTGGGTGGGAGAAGTGCACAGTGAGGGGATCAGGATTGGACTGGGATGGAGAGGAGGATAAACAATTAGGATCTCAGGATACTTCTAGATCTTCTTTTTCTAGTTTCAACTCTGCCCTCAATCTATTCCTTCTCTTTCCCAGGGCCTTCTGATGGCCCTGTTCCCTGAGTCCCAGTCTCGATTCTCCAGCACATAAAGTCCCTGAAGAAGATTCTCCACCCGCATGACCATGATTCTCAGGGTAGATAGTGGTCCCCTTCCCCACTCCCCAGGGCAGGCTGTTGCCATGAAAACTGTCTGACCTGCTGTAGGAGAAGACGGTGACCTCGCACAGACCTCTGAGTCCTTGCCTGGCTTAATTTTTGTCCTCAGCCTTCTGTCCTGTGAGGCGCTCCTGCAGGGGGTGGGGAGGGTGATGATACTAGGGGGTGAGTTGTCTGGGTTGACAGGGCTGTTGTGGGAGCGGAGGTCCCGCTCACAGGGCTTCCTCTCTTCTCCCTGGGGTGGGGCCAGCCAACAAGCACAAGCCATGGATCGAGGCAGAGTACCAGGGCATCGTCATGGAGAACGACAACACCGTCCTGCTGAACCCACCACTCTTTGCCTTGGATAAGGATGCCCCCCTGCGCTATGCAGGTGATTGGGGTCGGTGGATGGCAAGATCCTGGGAGTGGGGACAATGAGAAAGTGGGGAAGAGGCCTTGGGAAAGTAGAAGTGGGCTCAGGGGGTGGCGTGGGCTGCACTGAAGAGTGGAGATTGAGGAAAGGTGCCAGAGAGGAGGATGTGGGCAGGCAGGGCTTAAACATATCACAGTTTTGCCAGATCTCAGGCCTGGTGGCTCTGAGAGGCTTCTGCTCAGGGAAGCTGGGGTCAGAGTTGACTGATCGTGGATGCTTTCACACCTGCAGGAGAAGGGACGGGGGTTGGGAGGAGAGGTGGACCCCGAAGAGGGAGGCTGAGACTGGGGGAGGAGAGCAGCAGGTAGAGCAGGAGCCTCAGTCCTCCCCTCCTCCTTGGCCAGGTGAGATCTGTGGCTTCCGGCTCCACGGGTCTGGGGTGCCCTTTGAGGCCGTGATCCTGGACAAGGCCACCGGAGAAGGGCTGATCCGAGCCAAGGAGCCAGTGGACTGTGAGGCCCAGAAGGAGCACACCTTCACCATCCAGGCCTACGACTGTGGCGAGGGCCCCGATGGGGCCAACACCAAGAAGTCCCACAAGTGAGGAAGTCCTTGTCCCCTGCCCCCTCTGCTGCAGGGCCCTTCTGCCTCCCCACCCTCTATCCATGCATTCATTGAATAGCCACCTCCTACCCCAGCCCCACCCCTGTTGTTCATAGAACCAAGAGACCTTCAGACAAGGTGACAGAAACATATAATAGAGTTCAGAGGGCTCTAATCCTGGCTTTGCCTCATATGACCTCAGGCAACTTACTTGGCCTTTCTGGACCTGTTTGTCCTATCTGTAAAATGGGGACAGTGGTGATACCTAAGTCGTAAGGTGCTGTGAAGATGAAAGAGGTGGTTGTTGTGAAAAGCATGCATCACAGTGCCTGTGCCAGGGTGAGGGGCTCAACACGTGGGAGTTAGGATGATGAGAAGGAGAGCCAGGAGTAGGAGGAGGGACACATTCGGCACACATCCAGATTCCTTTCCGCTGCCCCTCCACTCTCTTTGCAGTGTGCACCACATGCACGGTTCATAACACACACACGTGCAGCTCCAGGTGACGGTGGGCAGGGGATGGTGATAGCATGAAAGAGGCTCCGGTCTGGGGCACCTATGCCTGCTCCCAGCCATCTTCTCATTTAGAATAGAAGAAAGATCGGCAGTCAGGATTCCTGCATCACTCAGAGGCACTAGAGAAAAAATGCTCCTTGTGACTCTGTTTCCCATTTGGAGATAGAACACTTGCCCCTGGGTCCTGAGAGCCTGGCGGCGTCTTGACTAGGGGCAGGGCTACACCCAGCTCTGCTTGCCCTGGTGGGTGCATGGGGAGGGAGGGGCCGCACCTGACGTGCACATTTCGCGCGTATGCTTGGAAGGCAGCACTTGGCTGACAGGTACTACTCAATCTGACTTATGGACAGATGCCACTTCCCCTCTCATGGCTGGTTAAATTTGGCTTTTATCCTGCATCTTCCTTGATTATCCCATTGGACTTGTTTGTTGTGAAAGAAGGACCTGCTGGATTTGTGCCTTGCTCTGTGTCTTGGCACCCTAACCCATGGCACTGGGGCTTGTTCCTTATCCCCTACAGCAGTCATCCTTTGTTTGGGCTCTGCCTGTGTTGTCCTGGTGCCCTGCAGGGTGGGGATGAGCACACTGCCTGCCCCAGTCTCATGGCTCCCTCCTGGCTGACGCTTCCTTGTCCTTCTTCCCGTTCTGGCACGGCAGGGCCACCGTGCATGTGCGGGTCAACGATGTGAATGAGTTTGCCCCAGTGTTTGTAGAGCAGCTGTACCGAGCTGCAGTGACCGAGGGGAAGCTGTATGACCGCATCTTGCGGGTGGAAGCCAT